CACCACTTTTCAAACTATATGCTATAAACTACTTAATAGTTTTTGTCCAATTCCCTTGATAGAAATCAGATGGTCTTGGTGTCAAGCCTATAACAGCTGATTAGCACTAAAAGACTAAATTTCTGGAATACATTAAAGTTGTGACATCCAAATAAAAGAAAGGAAATACATATCAAATCAAAGAAAGCATATGTCCTGCTGCATGCAGTTGTTTCAGTGGCACAAAGTACCAAAAGCAGCAGCACAATAGGTCAAGCCAATAGTGCGACAACCTTAACTTTTAAATTTTGTTGCTTTCCTTAGGTTATGTTGCAGGCTTGCTTTGCTTTCTATTACTACCCCCAAAAAATAGAAGCCCCAAGACAATTCTGTAAAATATGTTATAAACTTTTAACCAGCAAAGCACAATACATACATGATATTTCTTCTGGCAGGAAGTAGTGCAATGCAGGGATACATTAGTGCAATGCTCCATATGGGATAATTAACTCTGAAAAAGCAGAATATTAGCCTAGGGAAACACCAGGCTGGTACAGTTATGCTGTTTTCAGCACCCAGGGTAGCTCACTGAGAACCACTGTATTATATCATATACATCACATACCTTTCTCCCAAAATCAGCCCTCTAAACACTAGAGTGCATCTTAAAAGGGGAAGCTGATTTCTGTTCTTTGCTGGAACAGAAGCATGGAGACACTGCTCCAAGATGGCTGCCAGATTTGCTCTGAAGCAGCAAGCAGGAGGGGTAGAGTCCAGTGTTAACAACCCTTTCAGAGCTGTTCGTAAATTGGTAACAGTTTTTAGCATTGGAAAAAGTCAACACTGTCCCAGAACTACCAAGCTTTTTCCATAAAAAACTGCTTGAACAGTTGTTCAAGCATTTTACACCACTAAAATGGCATATTCCTCACTATAAATGTAATGCTTAGACATTGACTGAAGAACGTACTGGCCAAATGCTTCTTGGTCTGTGTCTGCAATGTTAATTTTTACAGTTCTGCAGCAAGTGTATAACAACAACCAAGGGGATGATCATGTAGCTTATCCTACCTGTTTAACCAGCCACTAGGGTTATGCGAAGCTTCAGTCCCCAATCTGATTCAGCGGAGATTCAGCCCAATTTGGTGGCCAAATCTCCAAATCCAGATCAAATCAGGAGACCCTTTAAATCTCTCTGAATCAAATCGGAACCCTCCAAATCAATTTGGAGAGATTCAGAAAGATTCGGCAATTCAAACATAGACAAAGCTTTAAATGTTTTTTCTACATACCTCTAGGTAGCAGGGGCTCATGAGTGCTGCGATGCTGGGGTGCATGGAGCATCCCACAGAAGCATGGGGGCTCCCCAGCACACTCAGCAGCAGACCCTGAAGTGGACCAAAAGCACTTCCAGGTCTGCCAGGGAGCACACTGGGGGACCCCCCCGCATCCCTCTGGCTTGGCGACTGGTTCCTCCTGGGTCTGGGCGGGGGTCCCCCCACAGCCGATCACCAAGCCAGGAGGATGCGGGGGGCCCCCCAGCCTCCTCTCCAACAGACCCAGAAGTGGACTTGAAGTACTTCTGGTCCACTTCCTGGTTCACTGCTGAGCACACTGGGGGGGGGGGGGTTGAGCTCCCGTGGGACGCTCCATCCACCCCAGCATCGCAGCATTCACAAGCCATGCCTGGTACCTCGAGGTATGTAGAAAAAACATTTAAAGCGGTGTCTGTCGCCAAATCGCCGATTCTTCGAATCAGCACTGAATCTTCAGATTTGGATTCACCCTAATCAAAACAGGGACAGTGATCTGAATCAATTAATCGAATCACTGTCCCCAATTCAGGCCAAATCCAAATCCAATACAGCCCATTTCGCACACCCCTACCAGCCATCTTTCTGCTTACACTCTCAGTTATACACCTAGTGAGTTTCACTTGAAAAGGACAAGGGGTGAGGTTGACTCGTTTCATTTCTAATTGACTGATGATGGCTCACATGCTAACAGAATGATTCTCCATACTAATATAATGATATCTTTATTCAAAACTGTCCACTTTGGAGAGCTCCAACTGTCATTGCTTTGGGCCAAATACAGACAATGACTTCTAAAAAATTTAATCTATTTTAAGTCATTTAACAACTCTCACAGACAGTGGAATAGGAAGATGGGAGAAGACGATAAAAATGAAAGTTTATGTACATCAAAAATGATATTTTTCTCCATTTAAATGATCTCATCTAAACAGCTGGTGAATAATTAAGAGGAAGTTCAATGGATAATAGTTTGAGGGGCACAAAGATCATGGTATGTTGCAGTTATTACACTGTACAGATAGATAAATCTTATGTTCCAATTATGACATATCTACTGTTATAAGATCAATTAATTCTGCTATCAAGCCTAATGAACAAAATTACATAGAGATGCAATCTCTGTAACAGCACTTAGCAAGAGAAATTAAACCATCACTAAAATTCTGAGGTAAATATTTCCATGCATGAAGATCGGTACCCTTCCATCAATTTAAAATAAATCCTGTGCCCTAATTTTCTCAAAAAGAATGCTAATGGCTTGGGACAGGCCTACTTAAACAATTATCCCCTTGTTTTAAACCTAACTTTCCAGACTTTTAGGCCACTGGAAGACATTGCAATTATCTTGGAATAAATTACAACATGCCTCCAAATTTAAGCAGTTTATAACTCAATGAGCAGCAAAAATGGTGATCCATCCTCAAAGATGTTACTTGTTAAAAGTAGACTCTCTTTGAAGTCTGTCTGAATCATACTTTAATCTGAACACGTGGAGTGTTACAAATAGAATGACAGTGCTTGACCAAGCCCTCCAGTACCCCAGGGTGAACTTCTCTCCCCCTCTCCTCCCCACCACACCCCTCCTTCCTTCAATGGGACTCAGACTTGTACTGAACTCTGCTGCCCCAGGCGCAGGAGACAGTCATGGCTCACTGCCCATCTTCCCTTTCCCCAACCATCCTTCAAGGCTGCTTCTTTAAGGAACCATTTAGCACCTCTTTCCCATGAAAGTTAGTATGTAACCACCCAGTGAACATGACAGGCTTTACTTGCATACAATCGGACTGAGAAAGTGGGGGAAAGAATTTATTCACAAAACTCTGAACAGGACAAGATGGGCACAGAGAAAAAGCAGGGTTACTATATGTCCGGGTTTTCCAGACATGACCTCTTTTTGGGTCCTCCCATCTCTGACTGGGCAGTTTTTCTAAATAATAGCAAATGTCTGGGATTTTGCTGTGCCGCTGCTTTCCCGGCGCTTCCTG